AGGGGGTTGGGTATGTAACTCAGTAGTACAGCCCTTTGCTACTATGTCTAGGGCCCTAGGTTCATTCCCCATTAAGGCCAAAAAAAAAAAAAAAAGAAAGAAAGAAAAGAAAAGAAAAGAAAAAGAAAAAGAAAAAGAAAAAAAAAAGGATTATAAATAGGATTCCTAGCTATCTGTAAATAATTAATGTCTAGCAAAAATCTAGTTGGATATTTCTGTTTTCTGGAAAATGAGATTATATTTCAGATACATCTTGGAGTCAACCTGAACAATTAATTTTCTTTCGGAAGGCAGATCTTTTTATGAATATTTATGTTAATTGAGAATAATGAGTCTTAGTATAGAGGAATGATTCTCACAGCAGAGTCTTTGGTGGGGAATTCCCTGGCAGAAAATTTTGAAAATAATAATGTGATTTTTTAATGTATGTACCCATGTCATTATTGTCTCTTCTCACAGTGTGCGTAACAGATACACATTACAAAGTACTACTTTATATACTTTTTATTTTTATGTAATTGGATATCTTGTAAACTGAAAGTGAAGAATTGATCTCTTTCTTGATTAGCAAGAGAAAGAAGATAAGGTGTAGTCTCAGAAGAAACTGGGAGAAAGTTTTTAACTTAGGGAATACAGTTTATATAGTATATAAGGATTATATTCTCTAGGTTGAAAATATACCATATTAGTTAGCACATTAAGGTTTGCCTTGTTGAATATATTGTCACTATTTCATCTTGCCAAAATATATGTGTTTTTATTGAAACCATTTGTGAGATGGTATTCAAAATAAAAGCATTGTTTTGATTTGTTCAGTGATTATTAATGGTGACCATTAAATACCATTTATAAAGTAGGTTTCTATTTTCCCCTGGTTTTATTTCCAGTTTAATATACAGTTCTTTTACATTGAGTCCATCTATATTTTGCCAAAAGCTTATTAGAATAAGAATCAAGGCGATGTTTAATTGTATACTAGCCTTAATTTTAACTGACAAAATAATTTCACATTTTTATGTGAAAGCATTGCATTCTAGTCTTTCTTTGGAAGATTTTGAAGGATAATATATTTACTTTATTAACCAGTCATTGTATGCTTTGAAGCTAAGAGCCTGAAATATAGCTGTACAAAACTAAAAGATACACATGTTTTCTGGTGGATATACATAACTATTTTTCTCATTATATTTCCTGAGTGATTCATTAAAGAGGAAGATAGCTGGGCATGGTGTGGTATATCCCTATAATCCCAACACTCTTAAGAGGCTGAATCAGCCTGGGTAATTTGGCAAGACACACGTCTCAAAATAAAATATGAACAAAGGGGCTAGGAATACAGCTCAGTGCATAGGTCCTTGGTTCAATCTCTAGGGCAGGAAAAAAATAAAAATAAAAAGATACCTATTCTCCAAACTATAAACTTGCTTGACTGTGAGAGAAAAAAGTACATCTAAATTTACCATTATACCAAGTGATACATTGACATAGTTCATTGTCATGTATTTTGAACTGAGATGTTTTTTATGTTGCTAGGAGCTGAATGAAAATCAAAGCACCCCTAAAAAAGAAAAGCAAGAGTGGCTTTCAAAGCAGAAAGAGAATATACAGCATTTCCAAGCAGAAGAAGAAGCTAACCTTCTTCGGCGTCAGAGACAATACCTAGAGCTGGAATGCCGTCGCTTTAAGAGAAGAATGTTACTTGGGCGCCATAACTTGGAACAGGACCTTGTCAGAGAGGTATGTTTGAATGATTTCAAATTTATCAACAATGTCTTTCCTCAATATATACCAGTCACTTCCCAGTCTCAGGGACCTTGCACTATATTTCCTTTTGCCTAAATCACTTTTCTGTACATACTTGTAAAACTTGCTTTCTCCATTTTTATATCTGTACCTATATGTTACCTCTCCAGAAATGCCTTTCTGACTGCCAGATCTTTTTCCCAGGGGGTTCTGAGTTCGATCCCTGGTACCACCAAAAAACCCCACAAAACCAGGTCTTTTTCGTTTCTTAAATATTTATAGCACATTTCTCTCTTTCTCTCTCTCTCTCTCTCTCTCAAAAGAAAATTTGTCTTCCTCAATAGAATTGAAGTTGTATAGAGTCAATTTGTACAAAATTGACTTCGTTCAATTTCCTGGTACTGGGCATTGAACCTAGGGTTTTTCCTATATGCCCTACAGAGCTACATATAGGTTCCTGGTAAATTGTGTAGAATGGGCAGGTACGTGGTAATCCAACTGCCTCTGTCTATCAGGGTTCTAGAATTGCAGGTATGTGCCATCATACCCAGCTGTTCAGTTCTTTATATGCTGTGTGTTTGACATGTAGTAAGCATTCAATAAAAAATTAATATGGTGAAGCATGGTGGCGTATGCCTGTACTCCCAGCACTTGAGAGACTGACGCAAAAGGATCACTGGAAGTTTGAGGCCAGCCTAGGCTACATAGTGAGTTCAAGGCCAATGTGAACTACATAATGGCACCCTGTCTGAAACAAGTCAAGGGGCCAGGGATATAGCTCAGCAGCATAAGCGCCTGCCTGGCAAGCTCAAGGTCCTGAGTTCAATCCTTGGTACCAAAAGAAAAAAAAGGGGGAGTGGGGAGATGGCTCAGTAAGGGTCTGAGTTCAATCCCCAGTTCCGCCAAAAAAACAAAGTAAAAACAAATTAATATGAATAAAAGAAACATAAAATTTAAATATGAAGAAATTAATTGGGCAAACTTTGCCTCTTTGATCTGAAATGAGTATCATGAGATACATGCTGCCATTTAACATGTTTTACAACAATGCTGATTATTAATTGAGCATTATGTTGTAAAAACTTGTGGCAATGAAAGTAGTTGTCCTTAAAAGGATACTTTCAGGGGCCAGGGAGATGGCTCAGTGGGATAAGCGCTTCCCTGGCAAGCGCAAGGGCCTGAGTTCAATCCCCAGTTCTGGAAGAAAAAAAAAAAGGATACTTTCAGTCTTCCTGGTGACACACACTTGCAACCCAAGCATTCTGGGAACTGAGGCAGGAGAATAATAAGTTTGTGCCCAATTTGGGCAATTTCAAGATTTAACTAGATCCTGTCTCAAAGGGTTAGGGAAGAATGTAGTTCCATGTAAAGGCCCTGGGTTAAGCCCTCTGACCTAAGGAAAGATGATACCTGTGAAGATAGATGAATTTCCAGAAGTTGATTATAATCTTCGAATACAGAGTAACTTTACAAATTTGCTAATAATGAAAGGGATTTAAACTAGATTAGACGTTGCTCATTGTTAAGACAAAGTACTCAACACACCAAGTTAAAAGAGTAAAGATTTATTTCAGCTCACAGTTTGTAGAGGCCATAGTTTCAGGCCATCGTTACCTTGTTCCAAGGGTGGGCTGCAGTGGGTCATGGCAGAAGAGACAGTCCATGGCATGGCAGACAGGAGATAGTGAAGCAGTAACAGCCCATCTGTGTTCTTTCTGTCCCTTTATATTCCCTACAGGCTACAAACATTGATTAGTGCCACTCATACCTGAGGTGGGGCTTCTATTATATACATCCTTAGTCCACATTCACATACTGTAATCCAACCACTTTCAAAACTCCCCATCTGTGACTACTTGAGGCTTTTGGTTGATGTCTAGTTATAACCATAACACCAGTCTTAGTAGTGACAGTGGTTAAGAGTGTAAATTGATATAGCCCTCTTGGAGCATGATTTAAATATCTTTTAAGATATATATGTACGTATGCTTTTACTTTTCACATCTATTTCTGGACTTCTACAAAAAACAACAATATGATTATAACATGTAGCATACATAATTGTTTACTGAAACTATAAAAGCAAAAAAACAAAATGGAAACAGCTCAAGTGTTGGTCACATGTAGGGGTTTAAAAAGTGCTATTACAAATCAGTCATTTTCAATGAAAGTTTTTTTGTCTTTTTTGATGTTTTTGTATTTTTTTGGCTGAATTTTTTTTTTTTTTTTTTTTTTTTTAGGTGAGGTTTATTTTTTGTTTTCAGGGCCAAGGACCAATCCCAGGGCTTCCAGCTTGCTGGGCAAGTACCACTGAGCTAAATCCCCAGCCCTCAGTTTTTTAAAGTCTTCATGTACTGATTTGATTTGGTCATATATACATTATAATGTTAAGTGAAGAAAGCAAGCTACCTGCCTGAAATGTGTGTATATTATTAAAATTGTAGTATATGTAT